CTGCCATTTCCCAGCATGCAAGGCACTCATGGATTCTGGCACACCATTCAGCGGTGAGAAGTATGCTGATGCCATTGTAAAGCTACAGGAAGAATTTGATCACAGGTTTGCAGATTTCAAGACACACAGAGCCACTTTTCAAATTTTTGCTGACCCCTTCTCCTTCGATGTGGAAGATGCCCCCCCCCACCCCCGTGCTTCGAATGGAGCTAATTGACCTGCAGTGCAATTCTGAACTCCAAGCCAAGTTCAGGGAGGTGAGTGGAAAAGCAGACAAGCTTGGACAATTTTTGAGAGAATTGCCCCTTACCTTCCCTGAGCTTTCCAGGATGTTCAAGCGGACCATGTGCCTTTTTGGGAGCACCTATCTGTGTGAAAAGCTCTTCTCCACCATGAACTTTAATAAGTCAAAGTTCAGGTCCAAACTTGCTGATGAGCATCTTCAAGCCATACTGAGGGTCTCAGTTGCTTCCTCCCTCAAGCCAAATGTGGCTCAGCTGTGTAAGAGGAAGCGCTGTCAGGTCTCTGGCAGCAAGGAGTAGGAGGAAGTAAGAGAAGTCCATGTTCTGAAGAACCGTTCATGTTCTGAATTATTATTAGTAAAGATTGAGAAGATTGGATCAGTTGTACTTTTTTTTGGAATACTTGAAATCCTTTTTTTTGTGGAATACTTGATGCAGCCCAGCCTCACCCAGACTCTACTTCCAGCGGCCCCCAGGTAAGTTGAGTTTGAGACCCCTGATTTAAAGTCTTTCAGAATTTAGATGAAAACTTTACACGTATTTGTGTGTGTAAATCTAGGTTGGTTTAGTTGCAAACTATAGACTGGGTTTTCCAGAGGGAAAGCTGCTGTGGCTTTGTTTCCCTCTGGGATCTTATGAATTCACCCTGAAATTCTTCCACAATGAAAGGTCTTGCTGGGGCAGAATTCTTTGGTTAGTCCCATCGCACTAGCCCTTAGAGGCCAATTGTGACACAAGCTGCTTTCTTCCATGGGGGAAAGATATGGTCAGTGCTGCAGAACAGAAATCAATCTACTTCTTGATTTCAAGAAGGGATCCTTTAGAAAGTACTATTCTCAATCATTTCATATTCAGCTTAGAAATCTTGAATGCAAAATCCATGTGGTCTGCATTCCAGAAAAAGCACCAAACAATCACACATATTCCTTTCTAGAAGAAAAAGACTGTGTAAAAACCAGCTTTCAGAGCTCATTCAACAATGATGACTTTCTCAACATTGGTCAGGGCTTCCGTGAGACCTTGCAGAAGAAGGAATGCCTACAGAAACGACATATGAAGGCAGCTTCACATCCAGCCCTCACCAACTGGCAAAGAACACAGATCCTGTCAGATAAAGCCAACGACCCTATTACAGCCCAGAGGACTACATTTATGCCTGTGGAACTGCCTTTGAAATACCTTTAATACTGACAAATACGTTTAGTTTCAAAGAAATTCATACATTACCTCCCTATAAGTGTTTGGCAAGATTTCTTTGGGCAGATTGTGGTAGAAGCAATGCCTCCATAAAAAATGCTGAAGTCTGTAATAACATCTGAACCCGGTTTAAAGGAAACCCTCATTCCAGCATTCACAATAGGCAGGGAATTTTCCTGACGTTGGGCCTGTCGGAATGCTGATACAAACTCACCCTGGGAAAATAAAATGGAGTTTTACATCTCATTATTTTGAACCACAGTGGACAATCTACTGTCTTCAGGGCTCTGAACAGTTCCAGTGACTTTAACAAGCATAATCAAAACAGAATAAAATATAGATCAATGTTCATTTTTGTTAATACATCAACACTAGCAAAAGCAGACCTATACTATTCCCAGTTGTGTTCAAATGCAATGAATGTTTGTCCTGAAAGATGGCATCTAAAAAGGATACTGTGCGGTTTAAAAACGTGCAAAAAAGAGCAAATAAAATGATCAAGGGGCTGCAGCAACTCCCCTATCAGGAAACAGTACAATACCTGGTATTGTTTTCCTTAGGGAAGACTTGAGTGAGAGGAGACTTGATAGATGTGTTCAAAATTATCCATGGTGTGGAGAAAACAGATAGACAGGGAAACATAAACCTAGAACCTGAACTAACCTATGACATTGATGAGTGGGAGATTCAGAACATATAAAAGGAGGGACTGCTTCATAAAGCAAATAGCTAAGCCATGGAATTCACTAACGTAGGAAGTGGAGAAGGTCATTAATTAGGATACCTTTAAGGGGGGATTGGACAAATTCACGGAGGAGAAGGCTATCAGTGGCTACTAATCCTGAAGGCTATGTGTTACCTCCAGAATCAGAGGCAGTGTACCGAGGTACATTTGTTGCTGGGAAACATGGAGAAGAGGGTTCTGTTGCAGTCGGTCCAGCCTGAGGGTATGCTGTGCACAGTTAGTTGGCCACTGCATGAACAGAAGGCTGCACAAGATGAACCTTGATTTGATCCAGAATGGCTTTCCTTATGTTCTTAACTGCTTAAGAAGGAATACATAATTGTTTGCTGTTGGTTTTCCAGTTTAGGCTTCAGATCTAAAGTATCTAGTGGTACTCACCATCTTTGAGTAAGGAATGAAAACAGACACTAAAATTTCATCTGGTATGAGGATACCATTTGCAGCCCCAGTCAAAAAATCTTCATTTAAAGGAATCTGTCGCACCCCCTCTGCCGAAAGAAATCACATTTATAAAAGATACAGCTTATCTTTTCCCCATCTGAAATATTTGTCTACAGTTATCTTGACATGCCATTATAAGATAAACTAAAGTAATAATGTTCTCCCTGCTATAGAATATTAATTGGATCCACACAAAATGGCCTAGAAAATAGTTTGAATGTATCTTACACAACTATCAGCTGGATGAATACTTACTTAATGATGCCAAATTAAGAATACAGTGGCCAACAGCAAGAACAGGATTTAGATCTGAAGATGTATGCCGGCTAATGATGTTACCACCTAAACACTGAAATGAGATGGTAGAAATGTTTATGCAGTAAACTTAACTCAGTACCAATCTAGAAAATTAATTCAAACATGTCATGCGCATAAATGAAATCAACGGTGTTATGGAAAGGTGCTTTTAAAGAGCTCTGTGCAAAGACAGGTTCAGTCACTAGAGTTTTTTAAATCAATTCACTAGCTAATTACAATACCAGAAACATACAGCTATGTTCCTGATCTGATGTCCACCCAGACATTTTAACTGCTGTAAAAGGGCATGGAAAATCCTTGCTTTCTGTCTTGGAAGTTCTGAGGCAGCTCTTGTCAAAACACGTTTCATTAAAGACAAGCTGCAGGCAGCTCCTAGTGTTAGCCCTGTGAAAAGAAAGACATTTTAAATAGCAATGTTCAGATAGCTAATCATAAAAAACCATACATCTTTGTGTACATAATTCTACTATTTCAGCATCACCAGCTTTGCTGCCTGGGAATGATGGGAATTATAGTCCAAATATCAGGGAGGCAACAGATTGAGGGAGAGTAGGCTATTCGTGGGACATTTGTGGGATTATTTAAATTCCAATGGACTGCAAAACATATACAGAATGGAAAATACAGGGATCTACAAGGTGGTTTTGAGACACTGTAAAGGATGGGATACAAAAATTTGAAATAAATAAATAATAAAGCTTTGCTCTGCTAGGCTATGGACAGTCTGAAAGGGATAAGGAGAGGTGTCACGGAAGAGGACAAGCTCTTATTTTTGTTGTTCTCCCAATGAGTAGGATCCTACACTGCCCCTATGCTAGCAGAATGGTTATGCAACAAGAACTAGAACAAGAACCAGAACTAGTTTCTAGGGGGGAAATGGAAATGAGCAGCATCTTGTTTCTGGGAAGTGGCAGGTCATAGGAGCTCACAGAAGGAATTCCCATTTCTGGAAATCAGCCTTGCCACTCATTTCCATGTTTAGTTTAGGAACCAGGAGTTCCTGTTGCACTAGCAGCCTGTTTTGCTAACATAAAAAGGAGTGGCTCCACAGCGGCAGCAGCGCATACTGCCTAATGGTGCGGTGTTTCTCAGTGCTACCTTGTGATCGTCAATTAGTTTACATTGATTTCATCTTCAATTTATATATCACTGCCTGTGTGGTGTGCATTTTATTTTTCTGTGACATCAACACTAAACATATTTTCACTTCTTCCCGCATGGGTGTGCATTTACTAACTCACAGTGACATTATATGCATCTGATGCTGGAGGTTCAGTTTATTTGTTGGCATTTTTGTAGATCCTCAATGTTTTAGAAATATTTTAAATGCTTTTAATGTTTGCATTATTTTTGACACTTTAATTTTACTTTTGACTTGTTTATTGATCCATTTTTATTTCTGCTTATGTTGGTTAGGGTTAGTATTGGTTGTATTGGGCTTCACCCTTGGTTGCATAGCCAGAAGCGTGGCTTCTAGATCGAGAGAGGTATTACTACCACTCTATACGACTCTGGTGTGCCCGCAACTGGAGTACTGTGTTCAGTTTTGGGCCCCTCATTACAGGAAAGATGTAGCCAGGTTAGAGTCAGTGCAGCGTAGGGCCACAAGTTTGGTGGCCAGTTTGCAGGGGATGCCGTATGAGGCAAGACTGAGGGAACTGGGTCTCTTCAGCCTGGAGAAGAGGAGACACAGAGGGGATCTGTTGGCAACATGCAGGTATGTGAGGGGGTGTCACACAGAGGAGAGGAGAGACCTGTTCTCCCCTGCAGAGGAGGGCAGGATGTGCTCCAACGGAGCGAAGCTCAGGGAACCAAGGTTCAATTTAGATGCCAGGAAGTACTTCATGACAGTTAGGACCCCGAGGTTATGGAATGGGCTTCCACGGGAGATGGTTGAGGCCCCATCGGTTAGGGTGTTCAAAGATAGGGTAGACATGCAGATGGTGGGCATGTCGTGAGCTGAGCCGGCTGGAGTCGGGGGTCAGACTAGATGGCCTGGGAGACCCCTTCTGACTCGTTCTGTTTCTATGATTGTATTGTAAAATGTCGTGAAGGCATTTGCCAGTTAGGCATTATACAAAGCTTTGTAAAAATATTAGTTTCATTTTCCTGAATGAGTATCCCTAAGTTACTGATGTATTCCATATTGGCTATTGATACCGTTATTACAGTCATGGGCATCTAGATCAAAGGCTATGTGTTTTCTCTTTGATGTGGTAGCTTATGTTCAAGGTGATAGGGTAACACTGTCACTTCTGCCAGTTACATAGCAGTATACCTGGTACAGTTTTTCCTGTCACAATGGCTATAAATATAAACTGAATTATCTGATGGTTTTATGAAAAATAAAGGCAAAAAGTCGAAAAGAAAACTCACCAGTTTCTGAGAAAATCACAGTGTTCAGTTCTAAAATCCTGGCAGGAGAGATGATGACTGGATGGATAGTGCCCTTAAATTTCACATCAGTTCCTAATAACAATAACATCAACAACAATAATAGAAAAAAACTTAAATATGTTTCTAACTACAAGATAGACCTTAAGCCAAAGCAATCCTGAACTGCAATTATGCATCTTTTTGGTGGAGGTGGCCAGAAAAGGAACCGCTCTTTTGGTACCGTGATTGTCATGGCTTACATATGCTCAGCCTGAAAGGGGAGGAGAAGACACACTGATCAAAAATACAAAGAAGCATTTAAAAAGCCAGCCAGTTCCTTCAATCCCCACACTAATGCATGGTGGGATACAATGAACTTGCGACTCTAAGGACATATCTCTGATTACTTCCTTGCATCTCAACATATACAACAATATCACAGTACTGCCGCTCCATGAGATTCTATGGCACCGGCAACAAGCATCTACTGCAAATCCACAGGCACCCCACCATGCCAGAGTCGGATTCTAAACATAGAAAGGAGGAAAGTAGAGTCGCACAGCATAGCATCCACATACCTTCTCTGTCAAGAGTTCTGCAGAGAACATAGCCCACCTGAGGGCAAACGATCAGGACCCACCCAAGGGGGAAATACGCCTTTCTCAAGCAACCAGAGAAGGGCCAAGACGTATCACAACAGAGGCACGCCTGGAAAGCAGCAACTGCTCACAGGGCATGAGGTTTTCAGACATACGGGAACTGCACCAAGAGGGTGTTTAGCCCGTTCTCTTGCCAAATCTGTTGGCAAGACAACAGATCTGGTGTTGCACTGCCAAAGCACCAAACCCTAACCCACAACCTGCTGACACTCTCAGCCCATATAACTTAAGTACTGGACTGCAGCCTAAAGATACTTTTTTGCTATTATGTCAAATTCAATTTCTTAATGTTTTTAGTGATACAATAATAGGAAGCAAATGATAATTTGAAAAATAATCATGACATTTTTAAGAGAAAGTTTGGAAGTTATAGGAACATCTGAGTAATTTCACAGATCTAAATAAATTTCTCAGAGTAGTTTTATCATAATTGCAAATGCTACTCTGAATCACATTTTGGGGTAGACTTGGGTTTCTAGAAAGTTACTTCAGTTCTATTTAAATGTGCATACAATACTTCATTTATCAATATGGTTATTATTTACCAACAGTGGTATTTCCTACTACAAGAGGTGCTTTGGGGAATTTGGATTTCAGTTCTAGCAGTTCCTTCAGACTCATTGGAGAAATCCAAGTTGTTCTTTTTCCATAGAAAACTAGAGTTCTTTTATGCTGGTCAGTAGCCATCAACTGTAGAGGAAAGGATGTAAAGTTAGTGCTTTAAACATAAAGCCATTGGACTTTATTCTGCAGGCAGTCCCCAAGTTACAAATGCCCCAACCTGCACTTAGGAATGAACTGCCATAAAGCCTATTAAGATTTTTTTAAAATACTGCAGAAAATAGTCATCCCCACAGAGGGAGAGGAAGTGAAAGGGGAGAGAGGGAGGGCCTCCAAAGCACGCCTTCCTGCCCTGCCCATCCAGGGAGGGAAATCTCGTTGCTTCAGAGGGGAGGCTCTGCTGAGTTTGAGCAGGGCAGGGCTAGAGATGTTCGCAGTTTTTCCACTTCACATGGGTCCTGTGCCCCTAACCCCTGCTAACTTGGAGGACCACCTATGCATGATCCAACTTGCATGCAGATTCGACTTCTATTTTCTATTTCTATTTCTAAACAGGCAAATTTCTATTTTCCCAAGAATGGAACTCATTTATAACACAGGGGCTGCCTGTATTTTCATCGGAATGGCACATCCAGGCCATTCCCAGTGGGGCTCCTAGCCCTTTGAATCAGAAAGCACTGAAAGGCTATTCCAAAAACGCTATTCCATCTTTCTTTCTTAAAAGTGTTTTTCCTGGTAAGAACAGAGATGAAAACACAGAAGGGTTATAAATGGAAGTAGACAGTTTCTGAATGCACGATGGGACACAGAGGCATAGGAAGCAGCCTGATGCTGAGCTAGACCATTGGCGGCTCCAGCCCAGTACTGTCAGCACTGCCTGGCAGCAGTGGCTGCCCAGGGTTCTAGGCGGGCCCCTTTCCTAGCCTTACTTGGGGATGCCAAGGATTGAACTTGGGCTTTATCCATGCAAAGCGTGCGCTCACTATTGAGCTGTGGCCCTTCCCGAGCACCCTGCATCTGAAGAAGCCCCTTGGTGTTCTGCTTCACAGTCAAATTAAAGGCTTAGTATTTGCATGGAAAGAAGTTCCCATTGGAGTAAATTTGAGCTTTTCCCATATGCAGAAAGTAGCAGAGGGGGCCCCAGGTCCAAATCAAGATCACAGCAGGGGACTACTGGGTAGGGTCTTGATCCAGTTTGGAAAAGATAAATCTTTCATTCCAGGACAGACTATGTGTAGTTTAGTGCTTAGACACTCCCTGCAGCTCAGTGACAGGCTGTATTGCTCACAGTAAAGGTCCCTGATTTCTTAGGGAGACATTCCCTGCACTTGTTTAGGGCCAACCAGAATACTGTGGAATTGCAAATAGATTAGATTAGATTAACTAATTCTAATTAATTAGTTTAATCTTATGCAATTGCACACTACACTTTTTAGTCCATTAATTCTAAGGACTGTGGAAGACTCGACCCTGCAAAGCATCAGGTTGCTAACTGGCCCTGCCCATCTAATGTAGGCGATATGGCCGCAGAGACAATAGCTTCCACCTTCTGAAATGGATTCCCATCTTACTAGGAGCTCAGGTGGAAAAGTACGATCCTGGACTGGGTCCCATGGCTGGAATTCTTCTGCTCTGAGCAGCTTTCTGCAATTCTTAAGAAACAAAAGGCATCAATTATCATGATGTCTAGGCTTCAGAGTGATACTTTCCTTTTCTCTCAGTAAGTAATCTACCAACTTTGATTCGAGCGGTGTCAGCTTTAGACTGCTACCTGTAGCAAAGCTTCTTGCATGAAGTATGTATCTACCATAATATTTGACTCTAATGTGGGCTGGGGTGGTTCCATTTGGCTACATTATAGCAGGAGGATAACTTTTTACACAGCTACCAGAAATTATAAGATGATGCTCAAATCAAAATTAGGTGCCAAGAGAAGAACAAATCAAAGCATGAACTTAATGAGTCCTTTCATTGCTCTATGCAGTCATCTCAGTATTGGGTGTGCCCTTCTAGAAGGGTACTGGAAGAGGTAGTGCTGTGTTAGAAGCTCAGAATATCACAGTGTACAAGCCCAATTCAGACGTCGTGATTCTATATACATGCATGAGCCAAAGAAGCATAATATCGTGCCTTATCCATTAATGCATGAGATTCCCTCTACACATAGAAGCCAACCTTTGGAAGAGAAGAGCTCCTGCATCCATGAAGGCTCTCCATATGATTCAAAACACTAATTTTGTAGTATTCTGACAATGGAAGGTGGGGACAACCATGATCCCTCCTTGTGTATTTACTTTGCACAGAATCAAAGTGCCTCAATAGGCTATATGTGGCTCCTATCCCTTCCAAATGAGAGCTCTTAAAGTTCTCAAAATTGACATGGTTTCTGTTTCCAGCATCTGTACTCCAAAAGGGAGGAATCTGTGTGTGGGACATACATACTAGCCTATATCCTGGTCTGAACATTCAGTTTAACTTTGCACAGAATCAAAGTGCCTCAATAGGCTATATGTGGCTCCTATCCCTTCCAAATGAGAGCTCTTAAAGTTCTCAAAATTGACATGGTTTCTGTTTCCAGCATCTGTACTCCAAAAGGGAGGAATCCGTGTGTGGGACATACATACTAGCCTATATCCTGGTCTGAACATTCAGTTTAACTAACAACAATTCTCAAAGCAGGAAATTAATTTCAAAGACCAGTATCTAACAAAAGAGAAATTACAAGAAATAATGTAAGTATTTAAAATACACCTGCCACTTGATTTTCACATAAACTTCAATACTATTTTCCTAGTTATACTACTAAATATTGATTAACTTATTACATCTGTTTCTTTTCCTGTATCCTGTTCAAATTATCTTTCCACTTTTGGTGTGAAGGCTATTCATAATTACAGCCCATGCAATTGCTGGACATCTTTTCATTATAACCTTCAGAATGATCATTGTATTCCTTCTTGTTTTTCCCTAACTTTCCTCCATCTCTTTCACTTCTAGTTGTTAAGTGCCATCCAGTCAGCTCTGACTTACAGTGATCCTATGAATGATCCTATGAAAATACACAGCCCTGCTCAGTTTGTATGTTTGAGGCCTTGAGTTCTTTCATGGAGTTGATTCATCTCATACTTGGTCTTTCTTTTCCTTTTCTGCCTTTGACTTTCCCTAACTTGATTGTTCTATCCAGTGAGTCTTGCCGTTCATGATGTGCTTAAAGTACAGCAGCTTCAGATTCATTATTTTTGCTTCCAGGGGAAGATCTGGATTGATTTTATCTAAGATCCACTTGTTTGTCTTTCTGTCAGTCCAAGTATTCACAAAGCTTTCCTCCAGCTCTATATTTCAAAGCATCAATCTTCTGTCAGGTTTCTTCACTGTCCAGCTTTCACACCCAGTTGTAGTGACCGAAAATACAATAGTTTGTATGATCTTTGGCTTGATCTCCAGTGAAATATCCTTATACTTGGTTATCTTTTCTAGTATCTTCCAAGTCTCAATCTTATTCTCATTTCATGACAGCAGTCTCTTTGAATTGATGACTAATTAAATCAATCTGGATGATTCTCAAGAAATTTGTTCTGCTCTTGGAATACTTGACAGGTACAAACATAATTTAAAGGTGGTTTGCAAGAATCATAAGAAACATCAGATAAAAGGGAAAAAAATTCCAATGAAAACACTCTCAGATACCTCTTGTGTTCTGTATTTAGAGGTTTAGGACAGTGCTGTGTTGAAACAGAGATCTTGAGAGACCCTTTGCCAAATGATCAGATCTATGTCAAACCAAAAAGCTGCTAACAGGACTGCAGAGGTCTTTGGCTTTTTCAATCTGTTCTCAGTGCATTTTGAGTGAGTGCCTCTTCAATCGTTTTCAGGACTTTTTCAATCCATTTTCAGTGGCTTTTCAATCATTCTCAGTGCCAAAATAGGTATTGTTTAGGGTCTGGGAATGGATTAATTCACTAAATTATGATTATAATTGTATTTTAGATATAATTATATCTAATGGGGGACATTGCTTCTGTCTTTGAAAGATTCAGAGTTCAAACAGCATCCTGAAACAATTAAGTTCGAAGTACGAGGCACCACTGTATTTGTAATAGGAAGAGAGAACTCAGTGCTGTAGAAAGCAGTGGATAGAGCTGGGCAGATTGCTTGATCTACAGTAGAGGTTACTGCAGAGATCAATCCATTCTTAAGTAAAATTGGACAGAGCAATACTAGTGTGGAAGTGGCAACCATTACTCCTAGCATAAGGCCCCCTGACCCATAGCCTGGTTTCTGGCTAGTCATGGGGGAGGAAGGGTTGAGATCGCCAGAAAGCCTAGCAGATCCTGCTTGCTGCCTCACTCCTGTAATATCCAATGCCAGCAGGCCAGGTTCACAACATGATAGCATAGAATATTTGGAGAATGTTCTGGAGTCACCTAAAGCACAGTTCTGAGTCATGTAAATTGAGAATCCAACCAGCAGAATTTTCCGGCTTGGTCTCTTAACAGGTGTGCCAACAGAGGGAAATTTGGGGAGGGTCCCCTTGAAGAGAAAGGATGATGGTCACAAAGAGTAACAAATTCATCAGAATCCTATCTTAGAAAATATCCAGATGGAAGTTCAGTACAGGATATGGATTTTATTAAAAGTTTAATACATCATAAAGTGATAGCATTCCAAAAAACATGGCTTATGGCTTATGATAAGAAATATCTACCAGGATTTACAGCATGGGTTAAACCGGCACAAAGTATCACCTCTGGAGTAGGGCTATTGGGAGCCTAGCCATTGCGGTTGAGGAAGAGTTGGGATTGGGTAGAGAAACGGCTGATTGCACAATCTCCTTCCTTAACTTTCTGATGGTAAAGTTTTCTACTACTGGCATGGCAATAGTCTTGCACAACTACTTCTCAGCATTATAACTCAGCTATATGGTTGCAGCTCGAACAATTATTAGAGAAACTGAATACATGGTTCTCAAGTTCTCTGATTGTACTGTAGGCAACTTTGATGCCAGGATGGGTTCAACACTATCAAAAGCTGCAGAGAAACACAGCCTTCTGAAGGATAGCTTCTCAGATTCAAACTACTGGAAATTCAGAGATAAGGCAGTAAATAAAGCTGGTATAACGTATACACACTTGCATATATGTTTGGTTTGCAGATACTGGGCCCAGTATAGGGTATCCTTTTACCTACTTTTCAGCATTCTCGGGTAGGATCCTCACGTACATCTGTGTTTCTAAACACATTAGTTCTCTGCTACAAAAGTTAACACTGAGGAAGATAGTGACTACCAGCCTATTAGTATCCTGTTTCCCTGAAAATAAGGCCTAACTGGAAAATAAGCCCTAGCATGATTTTTCAGGATGCTTGTAATATAAGCCCTGCCCCCAAAATAAGCCCCAGTTAAGATCGTGAGCCAGACGGATGCATTTAGTACGTCCGTTGCAACACAATTTGGGGTTTGGAGAGTTATGACAATGTTCCAGAAGATGATGACATGACTGTATTTGAATAAATGTAGATTTTTGTACAGGACTAAAAGTAGATTGTTGTACATGAAAAAATAAGACATCACATGAAAATAAGCCCTAATTTTTGGAGCAAAAATTAATATAAGACCCGGTTTTATTTTCGGGGCAACATGGTAGCAGCAGACTCAGACTCAGGCTGATAATGAACACAGATAAATAGTTAAGACAGAATTTGGAATTTCATCAAGAAAGAAGATTAAAATGGCAAAAGGTTAGTGTGATGAAATTAAATGCTTTTCAAAGTTCAGTCATGGGCAAACCATTACATGAAATCATCTCAAGCCCTGACTCTAGTGTAGACTCTGCCCTATAAGCATACCAGGACTTAAATGGTAATTTGAGACCCCTTTTAACAACCAAGTTAAGATCAAATGAAATAAAACTATGAAGTTCTTTCGGTTTGATAAAGAATGTAGGTTAGCAAGAAGTAAGTTGAGAAGACAAATCCGTAAATTACAGGCCTCATTAGACCCTATAGAATAGTGTACAATATTAAAACCTAGATGTGATAGAAAAAATTAATCACAACTAAGAAATTACAGTTCCAGAAAAAAATTGGTCTGAACTTTTGCTGGCAGCAACAAGAACAAATGCAGCCTATTTTTGCCATTTAGTTCCTGGTAGGCTCAGAGAAATACAATTCTTGTTTGATACTGCAATATCAGCTGCAACATGGGAAAATTTTATGCAAACTGATTTCAAGGTGATAAGTTGGAAAAATTGGACCATCTTTAACTTTAGACATCAACACCTCCCAGCATGGTTGCCAGTCACCACCTCTGAGATTAAACAAACTTTGAAAAATGACAAGGCATTGAAAATGACAAGGCAGGGGAGGATGTTTACTTTTTTATTTTTTCCACCAAAGCTATTTAAAATTAATATAGATTGGTGAGTCTCCCTTTTGATGGGCCTTTTTACACATATAAGTAAGGTTGTTTCCCAAAAGGCTAAATTTCAGTACAATAGTTCCAATATTTAAGAAAGGTAACAGAAAGGACTCTAAGAATTATAAACCAATCAGTCCGATTGATATTCCAACTAAAATATATGCCAAGCAGCTATTACAAAAAGCAGAGGTGTGGGCAGAAGAATATGCCTTGCTATCTGAAGAGCTGAAGGGAATTAGGGAATGCAGAAAAAAGATTAAGATGAAACTCAAATATTTTGGCCACCTAATGAGAAGGAAGGACTCACTGGAGAAGACCCTGAAGCTGGGAATGATTGATGGCAAAAGAAGGGGATGGCAGAAGTTAAGGTGGCTGGATGGGGCCACTGGGGCAGTGCATGTGGGTTTGGGTGGACACTGGAGGAACGTTGTCCATGGGGTCATGATGGGTTAGGCATGACTTTGCAACTAAACAAGATCTACTATAGACAACTGTTTTCTCTTACATCATCTAGTAACTAAATACACATGGAAAAATTATAGCTTTTTGCTTTTATCAACCCTAGCATAGCTTTTAACTCTATAAACAGGAGACATCTCTGGAAGGTCAAATTCAAATATAGATCTGAGGCTCCTGTACCTCACTAAAGTTGTCCATTCAGAAACCTTACCTGAGGGTCTGTGCTGGTTCCAGCTACGCTTTCAGAGCTTCACCTAACCCATAAATGCATCTGTCAAGGATGTATATTAGCCCATTTCCTTTTGATATACAGTGATACAGTGTGGTTCTGGGACTCAGCTGATCTGGGTTCTAGTCCCCACTCAACCATGGAGCCAACTGGGTGACTTTGGGCAGTCACAGACTCTTAGCCCAACCTACTTTCCAAGGTGGTTGTTGTAAGGAAAAAGGATGGGATATACATCAAACAAACAAACAAATAGAATTATTGTAGAACCAGAACTAACATATGCCCAAAATTCTACGTAGATTTGTAAATACCTACAAATGTCAAATACAAATGCAATTATCAACAACACAGGTTCATCTGAAAAGTTTGCTAAGATGATTTACTTTTTACTATGCAGAAAATGAAATCTTTATGCTTACCTGTCAATTAGAGATGCAAAAATACCTCACAGGAGGCAATTTATTACCTTCCTGAACGAGATAAGGAGAGGAGCAGCATCAAGCCACTGCCATTTGAGTCACCATTCCCTTGGAAGTCCTCAAATTTACATTTTTGTAATTAATTCTTAGACCTACACAAATTAATTTGTTAATTCAGAATATTTTCAATAAAATTACTGTTTATTTCTCTATAACAACTAGAGTAAAGGGACATACTAATATCCCAGCAGTTTTGGTCATTAATACACTGCATCCAAAGTCATGATTTTTGGCAAGAAGAAATAAAAGATCATAAATGGTATATAAATGCTAGAGAGCTAGAATGGGTAAATTTTTACTGTTACTTTGGCATTACTTTCTCAGCTACAGAATCCTGGGCACTACTCCCCCCCCCCCCCCCCAAAAAAACCCAGTCCCTGGTCTACAATCTCTAAACAGACTGCTGAATTTCACTTTTCCTGGGACATTACACTCAGTTCTAAATATTTTCAAGGCAAAGGTGATACCAATGTTAACCTTTGGTGCAAAAATCTTGGGCCTTGCTGGTATGACCAATATTGAAAGTCCAAAACTGCTTCCTGCATATGATTTTAGGAGCTTTAACATCTACTCCATTTTATATAATTTGAGCAGAACTGGACATAAGACATAATTTCTTGTTTCATATACATCTGAACTGGTACGGAGTTAACCAAATGTTAACAAATGGACTTCCAAAGATCTGTCTAGAGAAACAGAAGACAATTTTATATGAACAGTTCTGACTGCAAACATTTACAAAAATTACTCCAAACTCTGAATTTGCCATAACAGGGGAAGGGATACCAGAAGGTTTTTAAACACTTTCATAGAATTCTATGAGTTGTCTCCCTGCTTCATTTTTTATCCCTAGCCAAATTCTCCTACAACATTAAAGTCTGCTTTGTTACCTATTTTTGTGTCTCAGTCACCTATGATAATCAGTTTGTCTTGTTATAGTGTGTTACCAGTTTCCTCTTGAACACCTATGTAAATTTTTTCAATTTCTTCTTCAGCTTCTGTTGTTGAAGTGCAGGCTTGGATGATGGTTATATTGATATGTTGTCCACAAATTCCAATTGATACGACTCAATTAGGCTTTGCATTATAGTGTCTTACTACTTGTGCGACATCTTGCCTCAGTATTAGAGCCACTCCATTTCTTCTGATTTTGTTATTTCTGGAGTGAAGCACTTTCCGTTTGTCTGGCTGAAAATGTCTCATTACTGTCCACTTTACTTTGCTCACACCAAATACTGCTATGTTTAATCATTCCATGTCTTGCTTTATGGTTTCCAGTTTGCCTTGATAAGTGCTTCTCATGTCCCATGTTCAAGTTCACCTCTGTGCATGTTGGTCACTGGATTTCACTCCACCTAAAGGTCCCACTGCAGTCTTTCACCTTCCCAAACCTTGCAAAACTCCATTTCCCAATTCTGCCAGATTCAAGGAATCTCCAATTTTGTAATGTCAGTGTTTGTTGGGATGCTTAGTGGTCCCTGTATGTGTTTGAAAGGTTTTTTACATAGCAAAGTCAAGTTTGCCCATGCTCAGAAATCACTATGTATGAGTGTGAAGCTGGACAGTGAAGAAAGCTGACAGAAAGAAAAATTATGTGTTTGAAACATGGAGCTGGAGGAGAGCTTTGCAAATGCCCTACACTGACAGAAAATCAAACAAGTGTGCTCTAGTTCAAATCAGACTAGAACATTCCCTGAAAGTCAACATTATGGAACTGAGGCTTTCGTAATTTGGACACATCACGAGAAGGCAAGATTCGCTGGAGAAGGCAGTAACACTATGGAAAGTCGAACACAGAAGAAGAGGACAAAGACCAAGAAGGAAGTCACAGTCTTGAATTTACAAAAGCTGTCAAAGATAGGACATTCTGGAAGGCAGGCATTCATAGGGTCACCATAGATCAGAGATGACTAGACATGGAGATGACTTTGACCTCTTAAAACTCTCACACTGTAAGGGAATAAGCAAACAGGGAATATTCATGTACCGTACACTTCAAAAACTTAAAAATCCCAAACTGAATCAATGTAGCATACTTCATTTTGTTTACAGAGGGAAAAGCTTTCTTCTATATCCAAGCAACAATTCCCCTTCTTAATTTCAGAACAGTCACGGTCCTAAAGAAGCAATCACAATTTATTATTAAGTTAATAAATATGAACAAACCTTCTAATTATTTCCACAAAACATCATTACAAGTCTGATGAACACAACTCAGGTTTTGTATGGCAACAGTCAGAGACATATAACAAACTGTTTTCATGGGATAGATTTGCATGATAACAGAAGGAAAATACATCCTGAAGGCTTATTTTTCCTCCCAGTCTGTGTGTCGGTCATAAGCCACCAAATTAGCATAAATACCCTTGCCTGTTACAGGCTGCTGTAATGTGTGAACATGGGAAGGAATGGCAGTTGGGATGGTTTTGAAGCAGGGCCCTCCTGCAAACTCACTCAACCTTTTGAGACCCGCTTAGAAACGACCTCTGCCTTTCAGGCTCTGCTTTCTCTTTCCACAAGAGAAAACATCAGTATCACATCATTACTTAACACCAGCCCTATTCTGGGCATTCCAGTTATCAAGTAGTATGAATGTGTGAAGAGAGGAATGCTTCAATTCTGCCCCTCTTTGGTGTTGTAGTGGCATCCTATATGTGTGGAAGGTGACAATCTGAGTACGAGAGACTTTTGTGTTCATGGAGGCTCTCCATGCAGTTAACTGACCTAATTTTTCTGGAGTTAGAAATTTTGCAGAGAGTCTGCAAGGATACAGATGGTTCTCCTATCTAGACTGTTGCCCATCACATGTATGTGACAACACATATGACAGGAGTGGGGCAGGGCAGGGCTGGAGTATTCCTCTTTATCACATTCAAACAACACAGGAGAGGGCTATTAACCAAGTGTACATTCGTTCTGATTTAATATTGCAGTATGAAATGTTCCTGTTCAGAGTTAGATCCAGTCGACCTTGCCCTCCTCCAGAATACTTCACTCCATGTCCCCAGCTTCCACTTTTCCATTATCCTGCAACAGTTAGTCCTGAAATTCACCTTAATAAAATGAACCACCATGTATTGGAGGGGGGCGGGGAGGGAAGGGAAGGAACACAGTTCCATAAAAAGAATTCCAGGGAAGTAAGTAACCCCACTTTCACATAGGGAACTAGTAACAGTTCTCCAAAGAAGAGCATCATTAAATATGCTTTAGGTTTAACTCATGACAATACGGTACATTACTTGGAAATCCAAGCTTTTGGTTCTCTGCTGAGCTCCACGATGTATTGTTACTTTAGAACATTTGTTCATCCTTAGTTGGGTGTTTCTTAAAAGAGTCTGTATTGGCATCAATTGGCATAAATTAACCTAATTATGTTATCTGGAAAATACCATTGAAAACTTACATTGATTTTACAGAAAGTCTTACAGCCTTCAATTATTGCCCTGTAACCAGTACAACGGCAGAGATTACCTAAATTAAGAATAAATGTAAGCTTGTTAGCAACTGAAATTCTTATTTCAAAATATGAATGCCATCATTTCAGAATGAAATTATATGATTGCTCATTGAGATATAAGCACAATTAATATGTCCCTGCATTAAAGATACATTTTGCACTTTGCCCTGCTACATTTCCCTCATCAGTGGATTGATTTAAATCAGCAAGATCAATCATTTAAATCAAATGTCCCTCAGAAACACTTTCAGATATTCCTAGAACAAGGGTGCAGATCTAACCACCATGTCAATTTGTGAGCCCTGAATCCACTGCACCATGGCATATCTGCCACTTTCACGTATAAAGCAGGCATGTTGCTCTATTATTTCTTATTTCTTTTTGCACTAAAATAAGCAAGCCCTTTCTTTCTTCTTCTTTACTTTTCTGCATTCCATGGCTTGAAGCCATTTTATTAGACCCCAGATTCAAAAGTGGGAGTGAATGAGGCTGAACATAAAATTGTTTAAAGCACTGGGATGCAGCCAGATAAAGCAGATTATAGAGGCAAGTTTCAGTTTCCTTCTCCTATCTACTGCATTCCTGTAGAACCATAACCATCCTACTCCTTGTTTTATACATGAATAGGACAGAGATGAGAACAAAATACACACACTGGCTCCATTATATCTATTTTGTCCCAAAGAGGAAAGAAATCCAACCAATATTGATATAATTTAATATATCAGAGAGGGAGAGAGAAAAGAGTGGCAAAGTCACTGTGTAACTCCTTCCATGGGCAGATACTTAATCTATTTTATCTATTTAAAGTTACACATAAAATTCCTCACTTTGAAGGCATGCCCCTTCATATCTATGGAATATTAAAATACAGCGAGGTGATAAAAAGAGGCAGGCAATCTGATTATAAAATGGGAATCGGTAACCTATAGCAGTGGATTTAAACCTTTCCACAGCTGGGGACTGGCAAAAACAGGAAAACCACCTCGGGGACTGCTGAGGCAGAAACAAAAAGCACCATGCACATAATACAGTATTCTGTGTGTTAGTTTCCAAACACAATACCAAAACACCTGAAAATTTTCCAAAACAACCAGAAACTGAGCAACAAAAATACCAACAAAAGAACAAAATACCAAAATTGGTGGAGTGCAGCTCCCAGCTGGCTCCCACTGGCTCTCCCCTCCCTGACCCCCCCTGGCAGCATCAGCACACCCCCCACAAATGCGATGCCAAAGGAGGAAGAGGTGGTGGAGCACAGCCCCCATGTGTAGAAATGATATTTCCAAAAAGTCAAGCACTGATAGTTTACTTTTATGTATAAGAAGCAAATAACTGAATGATAACCTTGAGATTTCAATTAATGTAACAATATCTAATAAAGCTTTTCCCCTTTCTTTCAGAAATGTACCTGCCAATGCCTCATATATTTGCTCTGAAGAGGGTTCAGGATGGTTTTGCAATAAAGCATAGATGGACATTACCATTCCAGGTGTACAGAAACCACACTGGGAGCCATGACACTTTGCAATCCTTTCCTTAAACAAAAAAAGCAGAAAAATAAACCAGCCATTTACACTCATCAGACTATTTGTGGGGAGCTGAGATTTCTCCGTTGTGTATTCAGAAGGCTTTCCTTGCAGCACAACATTCTTTACTGACCAAAACACACAAATACCCGGAATGAATCTCTGAGCATGCACAGAGAGATTTATTGAACCCAATCTAGTATTCACCTCCAGGAACTCTCCTTAAGAACATGCCTGACCTTGATCCCTTTGGGAGGGGCCTTCTGAAACCGAGCATGCCTCCTCACTCCACCTCAATCGTCTAATTGGGCCATCATCCTCTGCTAACGAGGCATCATAGGGTCACAAACCAGAGCTGCCCGTCTGTGTCTGGGAAACTCCCCTGCGCTGAGTCCCCTCCCACCAACTGTACATCTCGGCTATTCCCAAAGACTGCCTGCCCACCTGGGGTGTCTGGCCTTGAGATAAACATCCCCGCTTCTCTCATCTCGGAGTCTCAGGATGGCCCACACTAAGGCCCTCCTGCTCCTCTCTCCCTTCTCCTCCTCATTTTTCTGGAGACCAGCCAACAGCCCTGGAGAATGTGGACCCAAAGAAGCCATCTTTCTCATTCCCGACCTCATTGCTCTATGTAGGTCACATGAAGTGGTAACAGTTCTCCCATGTTTTCTCAAAGGTCTTTCCCAGTTCTACTTGGAAATGCCAGAGACTGAGCCAGAGGCCTTTTGCATGCAAATCACATGCTGGGCCACTGTTAACCTTTCTTCATTCCACGTTATATTATTATTGATACAATCTGTAAAATTCTTCCCAATAATAATAATAATAATAAAATTCTCTAACCTGAACTGGATGATTACTAGACTTTGTGCTTCGAATACCTTCAACAGTTGTAACTGCAGCACCATGCAGTGAACATATTGGAATAAGACAAGCGTTGGCTGAGTAATGCCTTGAGATTGTGACAAAATAAAATCAAGGGCTATAAATCTAGATTTGGACATTGTCATATGTGCATTAATATTTAGGAAAGAATCCACGATGGTAATGGCAACAGCAATGGAACAACGACAACAGCTACAACTACAACGACAACAAAATTATTATTCCAGAAAATCATTTTCAGAAACCTCTGAAATGCAGAACTCTGAACTGAGCCCTGAATTGCGTCTTCAGTTGCAATTGAATGGGTCTGCGTTAGTTGTGCAGACTCATTCAGTGTATTATGTATGTCTGCGAACCTAACAAATAACTTCTGTATTTGTAACAAAATAACATTTAAACTAAGTTGGGCTATAGGACATCAAAACAGAGGCAGCCTTCATATTAGGAGTCACATGATACCAGTCCATTGTCCAATCTACTTTAAAGCACTTTTTCTAAGAGTGAAATGCAATGTGACATTTGTCACATGGTTTGTCCTTATATAGTTGACTTTAAAAACCCCAAACAAACAGCCTGTGTATGTGCAGGGTGGGGGGAGCTACACTGAAATCATGGCAAGAGGGAAGGGGGCTTGAACCCTTTGCTCCTGCCATGTACCTGATCAAAAGCGGGAGGCCCTGCAGCTGCTACTCACACTGGGAGAAAAGCTCCTATTGTCCCTTGTTATGAACTTTAGTTCTATTCTGCCCAATAGTCAAAGTTCTCCCGGCAATTTACAACAATGCATAACCTTCGCTTTCTTCATATTCTATCCATAAACACATACATTAAAAAGAATTCAGAGTATCACTTTGCCATGCGCCAAATTTGTAGTAATAATGTAAATGCCGGATAAATGTTTGCGCAAGATCCCAAAGATGATTTGTGTTCTTCTCGGCAAATGTATTTCAAAATCAGCTTTCCTTTACAAAACTGAACTCTTGATCTAATGCCATCCAGTTGGTGATGCTAAGAGGTATGACAAAGGATACAATATCTCCTCGGACACTGGATTATACATGGATATCATTACGGTGCAGGCCCCACAGCCCCCGCTTCCACATCCGTACTTTGTCCCTGTGAGGCAGACTGAAAGAGCTGCAGTTAAGGCAAAGAGTCATCAGTTCATTTAAAAATCATATTACTTCAGCTGTGAACCAGAAAGCTGCATCATTAAATCAAATACCCGTTGAAGCAGTTAGCCCATCCACAGATAGTAGTTTAATGTTGAAAATGAAGACAGACATACTCAGTGAAATATCTGCTGACATGACATATGTCAGTAGAACAGATTACCCCTTCAGCGCCAAAATCTTTTAAACTAAACCAAACCTCATCAAAGAAGGTCAACATATTTGGGGCTGTTGGACAGAATTTAATAGCAACAGCAGGATTAGAAAGTAGTCATCTTGCCTGCATTCTTGTAAAGCAAGTAATACAAAAATTAGCTGTGCATGTTTTAAATGAAGACAGTGTTTAATATAAGGATTTATTTAAACATAGAGACTGCTTTCTAAACATATAGATAAATGTCCTACCAATTTCAGTAAAAATTCATCGTGGGTAATTGAACAATATTAAAACTAGATTCCTTAGGAAGCTGTTAACAGATAGAATGTTAAGAACTAGGACAGAATTTCTACTGCTTCTTCTACAGTTCCTGGGCTTTGAACTGTTGCTTATACCTCCATGTACAGTACAGCAGAATCCGCCAGCACAGCCACCAAAGAAATGAATGGTAAGCAGGCCCCAATTTTAGGAATAATAATGAGAGAATAATTTGACCAAATAAGGCCTGAGGTTATAAGCACAGTAGATTGTGATGTCCTGAGGTTTTGTTTTGTTTTGTTTTTGCTGACCCATCGTATCAGCTATTTCAGTACATACCAGCTCCCATTTCATCACATGTGCTGAGAAAAAACACTGTTTTGGAATCTGCCAGCTGGTTATCCAAAGGTTACATCCAAGCAACAGTATGAGCTCTATCCAGTGTAACAAGTAGCAGTAGGAAGCACTGAACCTCACAATGGTGGCAGCTAATACAGCAATAGTTCTGCTCAGCCTGTCATCCTGTTCTTCTCACAGATTCAGAGCAGAACAAGCTCAACCCACCCTACATGCACAACCAGGCCTGTCCCCACAAATCCGCTACAGAGGGCTGGGAGCACTCCCTGATGGATTTTAGGAGCATTCAGGGGACTACAGAGAGGAGGAAAGGAAAGGAGGTTCTGTCACACAAGAGGACATCTGCTTGCGCAACATCTAATATTGCTCATCATAATTTTTTGGCAAGCTATTGGCCTAAACCATTCAGTGGGTGAGTTTGCATGTCATGATGGTTCATCCTGCAAATAAGCTCCCCAGAGGGGGTTGTCTGTGAAAACACAGAGAGCCTCCCTACTCCTTCCCCTTCAGTCCTCTCACGGGTATCCCAAGGTGAGAGCGACGCCGGTTTGGGGTGGGGCGTGCGGGCGGGTGCCAGTTTAATCCGCCGGACCCGGCCTGGGGCAAGGCAGGCTTGGAGCTCCCTCCCCTCCCGGACATCGGCCGCATTCCGCGGCTCAGTCTACCTGCCGTGCCGCTCTGCGCAGTCGCTGCCACTGCCGCCGCCGCCAGACTGGGGCGCACCGCCGAGGGAATGGGGAGTTTTTGGTTGTTTTTATACTTTTATTGTATTTTAATCTGTTTTAATTTGTTTTTATGGAGTCGTCCCCGGCCACGTCGACGTTTGTGTTTCCTAGGGAGCGCGGGGGCACCGCCATTGGGGTAGTCATGGGCAATGGACGTAACAGCGGTGGGGACTTAACGTGTCCGCGTAGAAGAAGGAGGGACAGATGGTTGACACCTGTCCCTCCTTCTGGTTCTGCCCCCAGCCAGAGGGTGCCAGGTAGTCTTGTCAACCGCCCCTCGGGCCTGACGGTGCTGCTGCTCAATGCCAGGTCGATCAACAATAAATCTTCCCTCATCCATGATGATTGTGGATGAGGGGGCCGACCTGGCTTGCATAACGGAGACCTGGGTGGGAGGGGGGGATGTCACCCTCTCTCAAATGTGCCCACCCGGCTATCTGGTTCAGCACCGTTCATGCCCAGAGGGAGGGGAGGGGGGGTCGCTTTGGTTTACCGAGCCTCCATCTCTCTCACGGGACTTCCGGTCCCTTCGAGGCCAGGGCTGGAGTGCCTCTACTTGGTGTTGGGCGACTGAGACAGATTGGGGATTCTGTTGGTGTACCGTGCACCCTTCTGCCCAACAGTCTCCCTGCCTGAGCTGACGGAGATCGTCTCGGACCTGGTGTTGAGGACCCCCAGGATGTTGGTCCTGGGGGACTTCAATCTCCATGCCAAGACTGGTCTGACCGGGGCGGCTCAGGACTTCATGGCCTCCATGACGGCCATGGGACTGTCTCAACATGTCACCGGCCCGACCCATGAACGTGGACACACTCTGGACCTGGTTTTCTCAATCGGGCAGGAAGAGGGTGGTCTGAGGGTGAGGAATTTATGTTTGACACCCCTGTCATGGTCAGATCACTTCCCGGTGAGGTTTGTACTTGAGAGCAGCCTCTCCCTTTGTAAGGGTGCAAACCCGATCGTGTGGGCCCGCCCCCGGAGCCGGATGGATCTGGATGGATTCCTGAATGCCCTGGGGGAGTTTCCGGCTGACAAGACTGGTGCTCCTGTCAAGGCTCTGGTCGAACTGTGGAACGGGGAGATGACCAGGGCTGTTGACACGATTGCTCCTAAGCGCCCTCTCCCGCCGGGCAGAGCCCACTGTTCCCCCGGTATACACCTGAGTTGTGGGCGATGAAGCAGCCTGGGAGACGGCTAGAGCGTAGGTGGAGGAGATCATGGGATGAATCTGACCGAACACACTTGAGAGCCCATTATCGGGCCTATGCTGTGGCGGTAAGGGCGGCGAAAAAGAATTTCTTTTCTGTTTCCATTGCCTCCTCAAAATGCCGTCCGGCGGAGCTTTTTCAAGTGGTGCAAGGCCTGGTTTGTCCAGGTCCTAAGAAAGATCTGGTTCCACCCTTGAAGGCCTGCTGTGATGACTTTGCCAAGCATTTCAGGGAGAAAATCGCTCAGATTCGTCACGAGCTAGACTCTACTAGTGACTCAGAGGTTTCTGGGGAGACACCAATGCTGCCGTCTGGTCCAAAATTAATGGATGAATTTCAGTTATTGTGGCCTGATGATGTGGACAAGGTGCTTGGATGAGTACGTCCCACCACTTGCCTATTGGACCCCTGCCCGTCTTGGTTAATAAATAATTCCAAGCACGGGATTGGGATCTGGATCTTGGAAGTGGTTAAGGCCTCTCTGAGGGAGGGTCGGGTGCCTGCCCCTTTAAAGGAGGCGGTAGTCCGACCGGTCCTGAAGAAAGCATCATTGGATCCTGAGATGGCCACTAATTATAGACCAGTGGCCAACATCCCGTTTCTGGGCAAGGTGTTGGAGCAGGTGGTGGCGGGACAACTCCAAGCACTCTTGGATGAAACTGATTATCTGGACCCATTTCAGTCTGGCTTCAGACCCGGGTACGGTATTGAATCTACCTTGGTTGCCCTGTACGATGACCTGTGCAGGGAGAAGGACAGGGGGAGTGCATCCCTTTTGGTTCTTCTAGACCTCTCAGCAGCTTTCGATACCATCAACCATGGTATCCTTCTTGATAGGCTAGTGGGACCGGGGGTCGGAGGCACTGCTTTGCAGTGGTTCCGCTCCTATCTCAATGAGGTGGTGCTGGGGGACTATGGCTCTGCACCATGGCAGCTATGCCATGGAGTACCGCAGGGGTCCATTTTGTCCCCTTTGCTGTTTAACATCTACATGAAACCGCTGGGAGAGGTCATCAGGAGGTGTGGGCTGCGGAATCATCAGTACGCTGATGATACCCAGCTCTACCTCTCGTTTTCCACCAATCCAGGTGAGGCAGTGGCTGTGCTGAACCGGTGCCTGGCCAAGGTAATGGGCTGGATGAGGGCCAATAAACTGAAGCTCAATCCAGGCAAGACGGAGGTCCTGTTGGTTGGCGGATCGGGCTTCGGAGAGGGTGAATTGAACCTAGTCCTGAATGGGGTTGCACTCCCTCTTAGGGACAAGGTCCACAGCTTGGGAGTGCTCCTCGACCCGGAGCTTTCATTGGAAGCCAGGTGACAGCAGTGGCGAGGAGCGCTTTCCTTCAGCTTTGGCTGATCCATCAGCTGTGCCCCTACCTGGAGTACGACTGCCTGGCAACAGTGACACATGCGTTGGTGACTTCCCACCTTGACTTCTGTAACGTGCTCTACGTGGGGCTACCCTTGAAGACAGTCCGGATACTTCAATTGGTTCAAAATAGAGCTGACGGGGACTGGGCGTTATGTTCACATGACGCCAGTCCTCCCTCAGCTTCACTGGCTTCCCATTGAAGTCCGGGCCCAATTCAAGGTGTTGGTGATGACCTATAAAGCCCTAAACGGCTTGGGTCCTGGCTACCTGAAGGAGCGCTTACGTCCATATATGCCCGCCCGCCCCCAGAGATCTGCGGCAGAGGCCCTCCTCCGAGTACCTACCCTCCTAATTTCCTTCACGGAGGGTTCCCGGAGAAGGGCCT